TTGGTAGTAAATATTGTGTTTTTCGATGTGACCGCGATTTATCATTATCAGGTAAAAAATCAGGTGGTGGTGTACTTATTGCTGTGAATGCTATATTTCAAGCTGAACAAATTGTTAGTGAAAGCCAAAAAGAATTTGAAGATGTGTGGGTTAAAATTTTAATAAACGGCGAAGAACATCTTTTCGCTTCTGTCTACTTTCCTCCACACTTTTCCAAAAAACCAGCTTACGAAAAGCTTTTCACTGCTGCAGAACTGAAAATTCAAAGAGAAGATCCAAGAACCAAAATTCATATTTATGGAGATTTTAACCAGAATACTGTTAATTTTATACAGGATAGTGATAATGATTCTCTGTTGTTACCAATTGTAGGAGAAAACGATACTTTGCAATTCATCTTTGATAAAAGCAGCCACTTGGGACTTCATCAAATTAACCATGTTCGTAACCAGCTCAATTCCTATTTGGATCTTATGTTTACTAATTGTACAGAAGATTTTTGTATTGTAGAAGCAGCAGTTCCATTATGGAAGAATGAAAAATTTCATACGGCTATTGAATACTCAGTGTTCACAGACTCGCATCGGTCACGCCCATGCGTTGTTGATTTTGAATTAGTTTATGATTTTAAAAATGCAAATGTTCCTGAATTTAACAACAGACTGAATAACATCAGTTGGCAAAACCTTTTAAAAGATGAAAACAACATGGACAAGGCTGTTGACATATTTTATACTAACTTATACAATATTATTGAAGAATTCGTTCCTAAAAGACAAAAGAGAATAGTGAACAGCACCAAATATCCTGTGTGGTATACACAAGAAATCAGAAATATTAAAAACAGGAAGCAAAAAGCACACAAGGCGTATAAAAAGTTTAAAACGTCACAAAATTTAGAAAAATACGTTGAAATTTGTGGAGCACTTGAGGCAGAAATATCGTCAGCATATGAGAATTACAATTCAAGAGTAGAGAACAATATAAAATCAGATCCCAAAACGTTCTTTAACTTCGCGAACGAAAAAATGAAGTCATGTACATTCCCATCACGCATGCAGTTTGAAGAGTGTGATAGCACTGATAGTGAGGATATTTGTAACCTATTTGCTCGTTTTTTCCAAAACACATATAAGAAATCCAGTAATGCTCTCGATTTGAACTATTTTTCTTACCTACATGAAGGGGAAAATGACGTATCAGTTAAAAATATCACTGTTAAAGAAATTTTTATGACTTTTGAAAGTCTCGATGCTGGCAAAGGACCTGGTCCTGATGAAATACCTCCATTTTTATTGAAAAAAATAGCAACAAGTTTTGTTAAACCATTGTTTTGGCTTTACAATTTATCTCTCAAAACAGGTGATTTTCCAAAAATTTGGAAGAAATCATTTTTAGTTCCAATATTTAAATCTGGCAAACGGTCAGATATTAAAAACTATAGAGGTATTGCAATTATGTCATGCATTCCTAAAATGTTTGAAGCAATTGTTAACCAGAAAATAATTAACCAGGTTAAGCATCGCATTTCAAATCATCAACATGGTTTTTTTAAAGGTCGGTCAACGTCTACTAATCTGTTGGAATTTGTAAACTTTTCTATTGAAGCAATGGATAGAGGTAATACCGTTGAAACCTTATACACTGACTTTAGTAAGGCCTTTGACAGAGTAGACATTCCCTTACTTCTTTTTAAATTAAAACGTTTAGGTATGACAAGTACACTTTTAAAATGGATTGGATCATACTTGACAGAAAGAACACAGATGGTCCGCTTTAAAGGAAAAATATCTTCGCCAGTTAATGTTACCTCGGAAGTTCCACAGGGATCTCATTTAGGTCCTTTATTATTTATTTTATTTGTGGATGATGTGAAGTTTGTGTTAAATCGTTTAAATGTGCTCATATATGCTGACGATATGAAACTGTACATGGAAATCTTTGACAATTCTGATTTGCTACATTTTAAAAATGAAATTGATGTTTTCTACAACTGGTGCGTTAAAAGTCTGCTGGATATTAATGTTAAAAAATGCAATATTATATCATATTCCAGAAAAAACACTACTCTAGATTTTACATGTACTCTAGGAAACCAGCTGGTTGTAAGGTGCGATAAAATTAGGGACTTAGGAGTAATTCTTGACTCGAAGTTGACATTTGTAGATCATGTGAATACCACAATTCACAAAGCAAATAATATGTTGGGATTCATAAAAAGATTTAGTTATCATTTTAAAGACCCATATACCATCAAAACACTTTATATAGCTTACGTGAGATCAATTCTCGAATACTGCAGTGTGGTTTGGGCTCCATACCATGAAACTTATATAAATCGTATGGAATCAGTTCAAAAACAGTTTTTGTTATTTGTTCTTAGGAAACTAGGCTGGACCTCTTATCCCCTTCCTTCTTATGAGTCCCGTTGCATGTTGATAAACATTGAAACACTTAAGAAACGAAGAGAAATTTCCATGATTTCCTTTGTCAATGATATTATCTCACAACGCGTAAAATCAGAAAAAATATTAGCAATTTTTACGTACCATCACGCATGTTAAGAACTCGAAATGTATTTCAACTGTCACCTCACAGAACGAATTATGGTAAAAATGGACCAATTAATAGAATGATGAGAGTGTATAATAATTATTGTGAGCATATAGATCTAACGATGTCTAAAGATACAGTAAGGAGAACACTAACTGCTAGGATTTCATCTCGTTAAGTTTAAAACAATTTTTATTTTTTAGATATTTGTATATGCAGTCTACATTTGCTGACAATTTCAAATAAAACGTATGTTTTAAAATAGCATGTAAGGCAACAGCACTATTGTAAAACGGTCTACACTGATTGACGACAAATAAATAAATAAAAAATAAATAAATAAAACTTCACAGCCTAATGTTTAACTCCATATAACTTGGAACTAGTAGACTGTGGAAAATAAACGTCATTGAAAGAGCTGTTCATTTTGTCAGGATAAACAACTTTGCCGAAGACATCAAGTCTCCAAAACGTCAGAGAAAGAAGTAAGATTCTGGCGCCATCTTTGCGGAAGAGTTTTGAACTATTTGTTTATGTCAATAGATGGTCCTTTTATGTTGAGAAACTTTGCCTGAGACACCAAGTCGCGGAAATGCTTCGTTTCGGAGTTATTAATTTTGCTCCGCTAGGTTGCATTCCTGACCCAGTGTGAAATGTAAGCATTAGACATTTTAAGAAATTGCGCTTGGTGTTTTTCTTGCCTGCTGTCCTCTGTCGCCATATTGTCAATATGAAAATGCCATTAGCCTTGGAATAAAATCCAAGAAATTTCAATAAAATAATGGCTAAATTAGAGATCCGAAATGATTTCCAGTGTGCATTGGTATGAATTTATTTATTGAGATCTATTTTCTTTAAAATTAAGATGATTCCATCAAATTCATTTGATTTCTGAAACAATCTCTTTTGTTAACTTGAATTATTTTGGAGGCGCATTTATTTAACGCTCATATTATCCCAAATATACACGATAAAATTTCAAGCGCATATGTTTTGGAACTTCTAAAAAGTCAAAATATATGATTTAAGATTTTCACTATTGTCGCCATGAAACAAAATTGATTGCATGGTGATCTTGACACTAATACTCAAACCTATTTTTACCGCCATATGGAGAAAAAAAGTTTCAGCAGAACAGAACAACAAGCTAATTTATGGCGGTTGCTTTGATGCAAATAAAAATTAAATTGGATTTATAACTGATTTTCACCAAAGCGTAATAAAACTGCTTGGATACAATATTACTCTTAAAGAGGCTATGAGAACCTTTTGTAGAGTATGGGGCTTTCTTACAAAAGGTTTAAAGACAACTTTATTGTGATTCTCAAGCATGCTTTATAAACCTTATCAAGAGTTGTCCACTAAGCTGGAAGACGATCTTATAGCGGTTATCAAAAGGTTGTGCTGAAGCTATTAATTTTATTACCGGTTTTATAAAATTGATCTAAAAAACCACTAATAAAGTGCAATAAAACCAGAAATGCTACTTGGGCTATCACTATCTGCAAACAAATAAGTTAAAATGTGCAAAAAGTGATTTTTTCGAAACTTTTCAATTTGTTTAAGACACAATTAGGTTTTCTTGGCTAAAAAACGGGTAAAAGTAATTTGGTGTTATGGTAAAAAAGTTACAGCTATTTATGTGTATGCACGTTTTTTTTCGGGGCAATCCATATAATGACAATTATCACCCTACATAGGATTGCTCCTCATTATCTCTTGTTTGTATTCATCTGATTCATGTGTTACGTTCCAATGTCCTGAGTTATAATGATGTTATAATGATGCAAACCATTTATGCTAAAAGCATTATTTGAACCATCCCTAAATTTAAATTGTGAAAGCAGTGCTCAGCATGAGCAACACACTTTTGTTTTTTTAAATATAAAAGTAACAATTAGGGTAGGTGTATCAGTTATGGCTATACGTTCCTATTATGGTGTGTTCCATTTATGGTCTATAGGAATGTCATAAGTCATCATTGGAACACACCATAATAGTAACTTACTTCGAAATTTTCGAAAACCTTCCATGATTTAGTAATTTCAAATAAAACCATTCAGCAGCACACAAATATGAGACAACATTCCGCAATCCCTCACCCAACTCACGTTTTCCTAGCCTAGATGGGGTTTAAAATTATTCCGAGCTTGTCTTATTTCATGCCACCTATGAATTATTATGTTGCATCGTTTATCCGTCGCCTTTAAAGAAACATCCTCTCTCGCACGTTATCGACACGGCCGATCAGATCGACTCAAAATTGAGTGGGTTTTCATTCAAAATCGCAAAAACGTGCGTTACTCATAGACTGAGTAAAATTTTCCTCGCTTTTCCTCAAAAATGTGCTAGAACACGGGGAAAATCGACGAAAATTTTACACTTTATAGGAGTTTACTAATAGACTGAGTGCAAAATTCCAGGAAATTTTTACTACCTACGTTTTTTTGCGAATTTGAGTCAACGAATTTCAATTTGAGTTGGCTCAATCGGCCGTGCATAACAGCGTGAACTTTTTCTTCTCTCCATACATGCAGGCGCACACAGCACTCGCCGCGTTCGCTGTGGTTTGTAACCTGTGGACCGCGAATTATACTTGCACTGATACATACAACCTGGCTGCACTGCAGCAAAATACGTGGGCGGATGCAACCTTATCCGGTATAAGTATATGTACCTACCAACTGCATTTCCCTAACGTATTTATCCTGCAGAAAGCACGCTTCCGTACACTGTACGGTTTTGCTGCAAAGCGGTCGCATCCTCACTCAAACGCTATCCTCGTCGCCGTCGCACAGCTTCATGCGGTCCTGTCGATCCAGTTGTTCCGTGTGCTTGTTCCAGTTTTCGTTGTTCTGCAGGGTTCAAGTAAATGATGGAAAATTGAAAACAGAAATTAGATTTGCGAAACATTTAGGTAGGTATATCTAGCGAACATGGCAGTCTGTGAAGATAGCGTTCGTTGGTTACGCTTTGAAGAGGGCGCTGTGCAAAACCAACGATATAGTGGAACAGCACGTGCTCTGCTAGAAGGCGATAGTGTGCAACCGATGCGTTGTGAGCATTACCGACGTCCTTCGAAGACAAATGTATTTGAAAAAATAAAGTGGCATTTTGATCAATTGATTTGGTAAAGAAATATCTTATCTGCATTGAATTCAAACAAAGAAATATTTTTTTCAGCGGAACGGTCTTGCCATGTTTCACCAATTGATATCAAGACCAATTAGATTGGAAGATGCACATGGTGCAATTTAAACTGATAAATAAAATACAAGTTTGCAATGCACTTTTTCAAAAGCTGAAATAAACGCAAAGCTTTGATCATCGAAGTGCATGTTGCAAATGGCAATGTAATTTACTTTGATCAGAATCGAATCAGAAACAGGAATTTAATTTAATGCAGAAAAACTACACAAATTCATTAGGAAAAACACCGGTTGTACTTGATGTCAATGTGATTCCACTGGGATGCCGAGCAGAATGTTGAAAATAAATTTGAAAGAAGATAGGAAGATACTTCATACGTATCAACGCGTATTATAAAAATGTATGGTCAACAATAAATTTAATTGCACATTTATAAATAGTACCTTAGAAACGTTGGAAATCTACGTTATTCAATGAAACTTATATTCATTTTATGCACTTAAATAACGTTGGGATACAATTTCTTGTTAGCAAAAATAGGTCTATCATCACATCCTAGGAATCGGTGCCGGTGGTGTAGTGGTAAGCATGATAACCTCTCACCCCAGCAGTCCTGGGTTCAATCCCAGTCGGCGCCGCCGGGATGTTCGGAGGCATAACATCTCTGATCACGGGAAGTGAAGCCGTTGATCCCCGTTTCATGAGTTGATGGGTCGATAGGTAGGGTCCAGTTGTGGAAGCTACCTCCCTGCGATCGGTAGCATTGGTGCTCAGCACGGAAAACAAGATCGACGGAAAACAAATCAAGGAAAAAAATCACATCCTACGTAGGCTTAAAGAAAAAGAAATATCACAACAAATTCTCACTATTGCATCTGTTCTCTGACATATTCGGCCGAGGTGCATTTAGAAAAAGTCTTCAACGATATCGACGAGATGTCTTCACATAAAATTTTCGGGCGGGAAAAGATGCTTATGTCCAATATTTCATATTTATATAACAGAGTCTTCCCAAAAGTTCAGGGACCATCTCAGAAGTGAAAAGCAATTCGTTAAAGTGGAGAGAACAACATTTTATTTCTGAGAACTTCTTGAATCTAAAAGAAACGTTGTAGAATTTCAAGGAACTTCATAAATTTTCAAGGAATATCATACAACATTCGAAAACTTCATATACATTGATTGGACTGTGTAGAAGATCAGGAAACTTCCTAGATGCTCAGTGAACTTCATAGAGCTTAAGAAAATTTTGAAGAACTTCAGCAAATTTTGTAAATCAAAACTTCGGGCTTTTTATTTAACTACATTAGATATTTCTAACACCAGGGATTTTTTGAAATATTAAATATGAATGCAAGGAACTTCACAGAGCTTCAGAGAATGTTGAAGAAATGTAGGATGATTTGTAAAAATTCGAATAAACTATGTACAACTGGAAACTTAAAATAGATCAGGATGCCGTTCAAATTCAGAAAGCTTTTATTAACTTCAGGGAATTTCGCAGAAACTCATCGAAATTCTAAAAAGTTCAGGAAACTTTGAAGAAGTGCAACAACCTTCATAAGAATTCTGAAAATGCATAGAATTCAAGCGAATTACGTAGAAATTCGAGGAACTTCGTTTGATCTGGCATATTTTTAAGTTCAAGGAACTTCGTAGGATTCAGCAAAAAAATAGAAGCTCAGTAAACTTCGTAGAAGTTTAAAAAATTTCGCAGAAACTCAGTGAACTTCGTAGAAATTCAGCATACTTCTTAGAACTTCAGGGTTTGATTAGGGAATTTTGTGCACTTAGCTTCGCCCAGATGTTTAGAAAAAAAAAATTGTAGAAAAGTTTCGTGGTCTTTCCTGATGCTTGAAGAAGGTCATGGATGTTCTGAGATCTTGGTCGAATTGAAAGAACTTGAAAACAATCATTATGAAACTCTAGCGGCACTGGTGGTGTAGTGGTAAGCGTGATAACCTCTCACCCCAGCAGGCCTGGGCTCAATCCCAGTCGGCGACGCCGGGATGTTCCGAGGCATAACATCTCTGATCACGCCTTTCTTCGGAAGGGAAGTAAAGCCGTTGGTCCCCGGTTCATGAGTTGATGGGTCGATAGGTAGGGTCCAGGTGTGGGAGCTGCCTTCCTGGCACGTCGGTAGCATTGGTGCTCAGCACGGAAAACAAGATCGACGGAAAACAAACCAAAGGGAAAAAAAATCATTATGAAACTTGGAAGAAGTTCCAGTAACTTCGTAGATTTTAGAATTTTCATAAAGTAAAAATTAGGGAACTTTGTAAATGTTTAAGGAACATTAGAGCGATTTTTCCACCTCTTAGGATTTTTTTTATGGCACTATCGACACTTGCTGAGTACGGTGCTGTCCGTAAGTTACTGCAGCTTGCTGTAAGTTACTGTAAGAAAATCATATGCTGCAAAAAGTACGCGAACATGCGTTTGCTTTTTTTCTGGACAACTTGTTTCAGAAACGCAAGTGCGGGAACAGATCTATTGTATTCATTTTATGATCATAGACACCGATACGAAGAATTTGTTGAAGCGAGTAAACAATTCTCCATTTCACAAGTAACGACAGCAGCCCCAAAACAGCACATGAACTGAAAGTTGAAGACAAAAGCAAATGTCCAATTGGAGGAAAAACTCAAAAAATCAAATTTCATGCATGAGTTTATTCGCCTATGAGTTTTGCCGTCCAAAATTCAGTGTCGCAAAAATCACCGATGAGTTTTCAGGTTCAAACATTAATTTCTTTATACATTGGCGCTATTAATTGCTATTACTATTGTTTGGGCATCAGGGGTAACACAATAATAAGCATGCTATCACTTTACTGTTGAGTGCTTTTTATGAGTTTAAAGCTGGAATGATTTTTCGGCGCTGTGAGTGTTAGTGCGTGAATATGTATAAGAATCTCAAGCGTAAATTTTGGTTACCGCATTCGCACGTGAGGCTCAATAATTTTTTCAAGTGATATACGATAGGTTTTGTCATTCAGAACTGAAGACAGCAAACTTATATCTATCAAGTTAAAGCAAGTAATAAGATGTCAAATTGCACAATAGAATCACATGGTGAGTGAATTCTGAACTGAGCTGTCGTCCATCATCCAATAGGTACAGAAAATTTTTGTCCAAAGCCGCTACCTTCTATCTAGTCGAAGTCGCAAGTTAAAACAATGAGAAGTGAAATGGTATACTAGCAATAACCAGCTAAAAAGTAATACTAGTATACTCTAGAATCTGTTTTGTGACTTGACCAGTTTTACGGATGTTCCGGATCTACCGAAAAACCATCGCACAGTCCCCAGGGTCCATTTACTGGACACAAATCTTAATTCATTGTGATAAGACGTCTTGAGTGGTTTCGAAAAAACCACGGAGCTCTAGAATCTGTTTCGTGAATTTACCACATTTACGGATGTTCGGAATCTTCCGGAGGACCATCGCATAGTCCTCAGAGTTCATATTCCATTAAAAACTCTGAATTAATTCTGATAAGACGCGTATGAGTGGTTTCGACAAAACCACGGAGTTCTAGGATCGGTTTCATGAATTGACCACTTTTACGGATGTTCCGGATCTTTTAATGAACCATTTCGTAGTCCCCAGCATCCATTTTTTGGTCACAACTCCGAATTCATATTGATAAGAACGTCCATGAGTGGTTTCGAAAAAACGTGGAGCTTTAGGATCAGTTTCATGAATTGACCACTTTTACGGATGTTCCGGATCTTCCGGTGGGCCATCCCAACTCCAAATGCATTCTTGTAAGACGTCTTTGAGTGGTTTAAAAAAAACCGTGGAGCCCTAGGATCAGTTTCATAAAATTACCACTTTCACGGATGTTCCGGATCTTCCACAGAACCAGTCTTGTGACTTACCGGGAACTGATTATTTCTAAAAGGTAGTTGGTCACTTCTTTAAAGAAATCAGGAAGTTATCTCTTCAAATTGCCGTACAATCAGTGTTTGGTCCCAATAAGCTCAAATCTCATATGCTACGTGTATTCGTTAATGCCGAATCGACCGTACTATAGGAATCCAGAGGCAACCGTACTTAAGAAATCCGGCAAGATCGAATCCGTACTATTGGAATCTTGACTGTACATCCAATAAATCTCTTTTACTTGAAAAACTTTTCCCAAGGACAGAAGTATTCTATCTAGTCAAGATGTCAAGTTAAGTAAATAAAATATTGGAGACTGTTGATAAACTACGTAGACAGTTTTTTGGGATTATTGACCCCCCCCCCTCAATGCGTAGACAATTTTCCATACTAATTTATTTAAAAAAAATATAGGCCGTAGATAATTTTTAAAACACCCCCACAACACCACCCCCCCATAAAGTGTCTGTGAAGTTTTTGAACAGCCCCAGTGCCACCTGGAAGACGAAACCTGAACTCAATCTTCCAATAGGCCTTAGGCATCTGAACAGCTTTGATGAAGACTGATACCCAGTGATATCATGGCAAATTTGCAACTGGTTACTTATTTAGAAACTACCCTTTGTAGGAAATAAAGATTTTTTGCAATAACTGGTTAACCTAAAGGGTCACCAGTTCTAACCACCATTAAAATCGTGGCAGGCAAATGTTATTCACTTTCTACTAATTTGAGAGAATTCCTACTCAATTTTGAGTTAGTCTCATCGGCCGTGTACGGCGTCTAACGATGTAACAACCGTCACATCCCCAGACGATCT